TGTTGGCTCGGTTGACAAAGGCCACCATGGCGTGCCAGCCCTTGTTGTTGAACCAGATCTGGGGTGGAGTCAGGGTCACAGGGTCAGGGCGACGGGGTCAGACCTGGCCCTGACTGGCCACCTTCCTGCCACCCCAGTTCCCACCTTGAGGCTGTCCTGAGCATCCAGGCGATGAGCCCACACTGTGAGGTTGTTTAGGAGACGGTCAAGGGCCTCCCCGGGCTGGGGGTTCAGCAGTGCCCGCAGTTCCTCCACTGATTGGGCCACCTCGTGTCCCGAGGGCAGGCCTGGGTCTCGGCCCCCCAGCGAGAAGCCCCCATACCTGCGGGGTGGTGAGGGCAGGCAGAGGGCATCTGAGGGCTGGGGAGGGTGGGGTGGAGAGAGCTCCCAGTGGGCAGGCAGAGGGTGTGGGAACGAACCGAGGGCAGGGGACCCCAAGCTGGGCCCCTCCTCACCTGACCTCATTTACCCACTTCTTAGTCTTCAGGCTGTGGGAGAGACAGAAAGACAGAGACACAGGCAGAGACAGAGAGAGACAGGGAGAGATGTTGGGACTGTTAAGGGTCAGTAACAGAAAGACATGAGGCATGGAGGGCAGCAGGCTGGGCATCCGCTCCCTTCCCCACCTCCTTTGGGACCAGACACCCAACCACAATCCAAGGACCCATGCTACAGCCGGGCAAACAGTCCTGGGGCAGCGGCTCACCCCTGGCGCACCAGGCTCGGGTAGGTCTTGACGAGGAAGTCAGACAGGTTCCGCCCAGTCAGGTTCTGAACCACTTCCCCCGAGCTGGTCACTGTCTGGGGTGGTGGGAGGCCACCAGCCCCAGCAGGGCAGTCGGGAAGCAGGCGGCGGGCACCGGGCTGGCTGCACTGGCAGGCGGGGGATGGAGACGCTGGTGTCCAGTTGCCACTGGCCAAGACCTTGGCCATGTCTTCAGGAACCTCAGGCACTGAGAACTGGCGGACAGCAGGCTGCTCCTGCTCAGGAGCCCTGCAGGGTCAAGGTGCAGGGCTGTGGGGACCCAGCTTCTGGAGGCTTCCAGCTAGACACAGGGGATGCTCCAGGTGCCCCCGGAGGCCCATGGCCAGATCCCAGATGGGGAAACTGAGGCCAGAGCGGGGCAAGGTCCAGGCTTGGTGATCCCTCACCTGTTGGAGCTGTTTGGCAGGTAGGGCTCCTCCAGTCCTGCCTCCTCCAGCAGCGCCTCCAGCAGGAGGGCACGTTCAGGGTCCCTGGGGGCGTCCTCACTGTGTGTGGGGGGAGGGTCAGGATCAGGCTGTGCCCGCAGGTCCCTAGACATCCTGCCACCAGCCTCCTCTTCTGTGCACCCACCTGAAGAAGGACACTTGGGCACCGTACATGGTGGGACTGAGTTGCAGAGCCGGGTAGTGCCCAAACGGAGGCACGATGAGGCTGAACACCAGAGCCAGGCCAACAAAGAGGGCGGGCAGCACGATCTGGAAAACCAGACCATCAGCTGCAGCCTCTACCCACCCACCAACCCTGCTTGTACCCTTCCTTGCTCCTGCTCTAGAACCATCCATGGCTCCCCAGTGCCCTCAATAAATGTGTTCAGGCTTGGGGATACGCATGGAGTTAAGCAGTTAAATTAGGCCACTGAGTGGATGGCCAGGGTGGAGAACAGGCACCTAGGGACTCCCATGTGCCCTCCCTGGTGCTGGGCCCCTCTCACCTGCACGAACAGACCACGGCGGCTGCGACGGGCAAGCAGAAAGCGCTTGAGAAGCAGGGTCCGGAGCTGCTGATGGATCAGTGCCCAGCCCTGCACCCGGCCTGCGGTGTCTGGTCCAGAGCCCTGCAGGGCATGGGTCTCTGGGGTTGACCCAGCTGTGGGGGACGACAGAGTCAGCACTCACACTGTTGGGGACCAGCAGGGGCCATGGCAGGGAGGGTGACTCACCCAGCTCCCCATCCTCCAGGGCTGACTCCTCTGGCAGGATCTTGAACCTCTCGGTCCCATCTCGGCCATCAATCCTTGTGCACAGGAGCTGCCCACGACTACCATCTGCAGGGACATCAACAGTCAGAGTCAGGGGTTAGTGTTTGGCCTGGGGTCAGGGTCAAGATCAAGGGTCACAGGTGGGAGGTCAGGAATCGGGGATGGGGGTCAAGACTACGCCTTGGGCCAGACTTGGCTAGTGATCGGGACTTGGCCCAAGGTCAGGTCCAACCCTGGACTAGTGTCCGGGTCAGGGATCAGGGAGCTGCAGCCGCACCTTCCAGGTTTGTGTCTGTGGCACAGTCCTCTACCACCTTCAGGAAGATCTGGAGAGACAAAGCAGGGGCTCAGAGCCTGGACACCCACAGGAGGGAGCTGGAGGCTCAGAGCCACCCACCTCCCACACACTGTGTGTCCCCCAGACCTCCTCACAAGGGACTTCTGTGCCTCCCAACCTCCTCACGTGCCAGCATCCTCCCTGGAATGCCCGTGCTGTCAATAAACAAACTCCTATTCATCCTTCAAAACTACCTCCTCCAGGCAGCCCTCCCTGGCCCCACCTAACCACGCCCCAGTCCCCACACCTCCTCAAGGCTGGTGTCCGAGATCCCGTAGCCAGTGAGCTTCAGCTCCCCCAGCCGCTTGTCCAGCTCTCGGAAGAGCTCTGCAAAGCTGCCGTCAAGGGCACCCACGTAGGGCAGCACAAGCACCACTTGGTGCGGCAACTCCTCCACCAGCTGCGCCCCAGGCACCCAGCGCTGCGCCAGGGCCAGCAGCTGGGATGTACCTGGGTGAATGGGGGATGCCTCAGAGGCCCTGGAAGATACAGGAACTCCAGATCCTGCCTGCCCCTCCCAGCCTTGTATCCCTGGGGAAGAGGCTTGGGTGACCCATGAGGAGACTGTCCCTCTGGACAGAGGTCAGGGTTAAGAGCTTAAGGGCAGATCTTGCACCAGGGTCAGAGATCAGGGGTAGGTGAACATCTGGGCTCAGCCAGGGTCAGAGATCAGGGGTAGGTGAATATCTGGGCTCAGCCAGGGTCAGAGATCAGGGGTAGGTGAATATCTGGGCTCAGCCAGGGTCAGAGATCAGGGGTAGGTGAATATCTGGGCTCAGCCCAGGTTGGGTTAAAGGTAGGAGCCCCAGTTCAAGCTCAACTCAGGGTCAGGGTTATGGTTTAGGCTCAGTCCACAGTTGGGGGTCAGGGGTTCTGAAACCCTGCAGCCCTGAATTAAGCCACCAGCCGCCCCACTTCCCCTTCCTTCTGGGTCTTCCACCCCATCCCTCACCAACTATGCTGCCCTGACTGCCAGGCTCCCTTTCCTGCCTGGTGTCCACACTGTCCTCCAAGTTGGTGTCACCCTGCAGGCAGAGGGATGCCAATTAGCTTGGCCATTGGGCTGGAGAGAGCTGTGGGGGTCAGGGATCAGGAGAAGGCCAGCCCTAACCTTATCACTGGTGGTCAGAGGTGGGGGACACTTCACCAGCGTCAGGTAGTAGCCAGAGCCCAAGTGACGACGCAGGAAGAGTGGGGAGCCACAGCAGCACAAGCGGCCACCTGCCACCACAGCCACACGGTCTCCCAGTAGCTCTGCCTCATCCAGGTGGTGGGTGGAGAGGATCAGTGTGCGACCTGGTCATGAGGACCCAACCCGCAAGTGCAATCAGGTATTTGTCTAAGCTTTGGTTTCTGCTGGGAATTGCCTGCCCCACACAGCAAACTCCTCTGCATCCCTCAAAACCCCATCCCCAGCACCTCCTTCCGGGAGAACCTGAGGCCACCACCAACTCTTACCTTCCCGATATTTGAGCAGCAGCTCCCAAATGCCACGGCGAGAAGCGGGGTCCACACCAGCCGTGGGCTCATCCAGAATGACAACCTGGGAGCCACCCACAAAGGCAATAGCCACTGACAGCTTCCGCTGCATCCCGCCTGGGTGAGGACAGGGATTGGGATCTCAGCATGACCCGCCCAGCCTTGGGCAGGGCTGCCCACCTCTCCAGGGGCTGCCCTTCCTTATCAATGAGGACCTCAGTGCCTGGCAGATCTGTCCGCTGGCTTCCTACCACCCTTGGGATAAAGTCCCAGCCCCCCTGTCCTGTGAAGGTGGCCTCCCCAGGCTGGGCTCACCAGAGAGGTGGCGGGTCTGCACATGTCGCTTGGGGAGTAGCCCCACGTCCTGCAGGAGACGGTCCTGCTCTGGGCCCACAGCCGCCGCACTCAAACCCTTCAAGCGCCCATAGAACCAGATATGCTCATCCACAGTCAGCCTGTGGCCGCAGGTGAAAAACAGAGTGGCCAACATAGCGGACAGGGTCCCAGAGGACACCCAGCCCCTTCCTGCCACTACACTCCAGCCCCGCCAAGACGCACATGTCAAACAGCACGTTGTACTGGGGGCAGACGCCCAGGTGAGGTCGGATGGCTTCCATGCTCGTGCAGACATTATGGCCCAGGACGAAGGCGGAGCCCCCACTGGGTGGGAAGAGGCCGCTCAGGATGGACCTGGGGGTGCAGGGTTCTCAGAGCAGCCCTCCTCCGTAGAGAGAAGGGGCAACAGCACTTACAGGGCACCTATGTGTACCCAGCCCAAAAAGATGTCATGTCCCCATTTCACAGGAGAGAAACTGAGGCTCAGAGGAATACTTATCTGCCTACTGTGCACCCAAAGTGCATTTGAGGTCCCCCCTCACTACGATGGGAACCTTCTGACCCCAGATGCCCCAATGAACAGATGGCGAAGCTGAGGCCCCAGGGAAGGGAGGGGAGTGGTCGGCCGCTCACAGTGTGGTCGTCTTGCCAGCTCCATTGTGCCCCAGGAAGGCGGTGATGTGGCCCTGGTAGAAGTCCAGGCTGAGCCCGCGCAAGGCTGGCTGCGGGCTGCCGGGAAAGCGCTTCTCCAGGCCGCGAATGGAGACCCCGGGACTCAGGCTGGGGGGCGCCTCTTCCACCAGCACTGCGGAGAGGGCGCAGACTCAGTGTGGGAGCACTTGGGGGTCCACGGGGCCTGGGAGACCGTCAGCACTGGTCCGTGGAATCGGGACCTGGGGGGTCTGGGGAACTGGGGGTGTCCAGGGGATTGGGATCTGCAGAACCTGGGTTTTTTTGGGGGGGGTTGGGGGGGTTCCAAATGAGGAAGGCTTGCCCGGCCTCACCCTTTGGGTCCTGAGCGGCAGGGGGCGGGGCGGGACCCTTGGGGAGCCGAGGCCTGCACCAGTAGCTCCTCCGGAAGGGAAAATTCCACGGCTCGGGGATTCCGTACTGGCCTGGGGGGCGGGGCAGCGCTCAGTTATCCTGGAGCCCATTCCCCTGGAGTGTGCCAACTTTCGGCCATTCACCCGGAATCAGGGTGCGGAGGTGGCCAGAAAACCCCACCTGCCTGCCTCAGGCCCCGCCCCCCATGCTGCCACCTGTGCGCGTGTGCCAGAAAGCTCCACCCTCTCCGCGGCGGAACCGGCCTCCAGGTGCCACGTGGCCCCGAGGCCCTGCCCTCAGCCCAGCTTTCCGTGCCCGGGTGCGTTCGGGCCCGGAGACCCTCCCCCTACGGCCCACCTGGGCACACGGCCTCCAGGTACCAGGTGGCGAGGCCGTAGAGCGCAGCGTCCAGCAGCAGCAGGCCTGAGACCTGGGCCAGGTTGAAAACGTCGGCCGCGGGCCCGGTGCCCACATTGTGCCACTGCGCGCCCTGGCCCTGCTCCTCCAGCAGCGCCAGGCTCTCGCAGCCGAAGCCGAAGGCCACGGGCGACAGCATGCTCTGCGGGCAGGAGCGGGCGAGTCAGCGACCTGCCGTGGCTGGTGACGTCCCCCGCCGGGCCCCACCCGGCTCTCACCGCGGCTATGCGGCCGCCCGCGGGCAGCCGGTCCCGCCAGGCCACGCACAGCACGTAGGGCAGGTAGAGCGCGAAGTAAGCGAGACCCCCGCAGGCGGCCGCCAGGTTGGCATGGGAGAAGAAGGCGCTTAGAAAGAAGCACTGGACCACCGTGGCCACCGCGAAGGCTGCCAGGAACAGGAAGACCACGGCCGGGTGGCTGTAGGGGAGGATGTCTCCGAGCTGTGGGAGGCGAAGGGAGCTCAGAGACGGGCGCCTGGATGTGTCCGGGGGCGCGCACCAACGCTGGGCGCCTCCTGTCTATTACCCTCCCGCGCGCCCATTCCGCAGCCAGGAAGGCCAAGGCGCGCCCACCTTGAGCACCAGCACCAGGAGCGCGGCGCTGAGAAGTAAGGGCCCGAGGCAGCTGAGGAACCAGCCGAGCCACAGCACCGCGCGGCTGAGCCCCATGGCGCGCATCGTGTCGCGCAAGCGCGTCTCCTTCTCGCGCACCACGGCCTTCACCGTCAGCGCCACCGAGTAGATCCAGGCCAGGGTCAGGAAGAGCGGCAGCGACCGGCTCAGCACGCGCAGGAACCTGCGGCGGGGGACGGCTGGGGTGGAGCCAGATGCCCTGCACAGCCCCCCAGACGCCCCCCTGCCCGCCATCTGGCACCACGGTTGCTGCCCCGGAATCTCAAGGCTCAGCCTGCCGTGGCGATTCCCTTATCCTCGGAACCCTGATCCAGCCTCGGGGTCGCAGATGTCAGCACAGGGACACCTGCGCCTGGAGACCCTAGACCCTCCGGGACCCCTGCTTCTGCTTCTCCCGCTACGGGTTACACGGAATGGTCCCTCTAACTGAACCAGCGGTTCACAGCCTTGACTGCATGAATGTTGCAGACCGAGCCAGGGCCCCACCCTAAGACCCAGGGCCTGGCGGCTGGGGAGCGAGCGGGGAGGGGGCGCGGCGCTCACGCGTCGTCCACGTAGCACGGGTAGGGCATCTGCTGCAGGTAGAGGCCCGCGCGGGGGACGGCGCCGCTGAGCACGCGCACCGCTGCACGCTCCAGCAGGTCCTGCAGGTACACGAAGCCGCCCCACACGTAGCGTAGGTCGGTCAGGGGATCCGCGGCTGGGCCCGGGTCCCAAAACCTACGAGAGGGGCGTGGTGGTCGGCTGGAGAGGGCCCTGCCCATCACTCCGCGGGCTCTATCGCGCGCCTGGCCCCGCCCCCACGCGCACAGGCTCCGCCCACCGCAGGCCCCATTGGTAGAAGGGGCCTCTGGCCCCGCCCACCACGCCTTCGTCGGTACCGCCCAGTTCCGTCTACCACGGCTTCCAACCGGCTGGTGCCACTGGCCCGCCCTCCATGCTCTGGGCCCCGCCCCCACCTGTCTCTGATCTTATTGGTGCGCGTGACGTCGTCAATGTCCATGCGGATCGTCACACGCACGTGGCCGGGCCCCACGCCTGGGGCTGGGCGCTCTGCGGGGTCTGGGGGGTCCTCGGGCCCCAGGAACACAACGCCGGCCCAGAAGCGGCGCTCAGAGAGCAGCTGTAGGGCCCGCGACACCAGGGCCACCTCCGAGGGCGCTGCTTCCAGCTTGTCCAGGGACACGCACTAGGGAGGGAGGTGAGGGCGCCGAGTCCGAGTCCGAGGGGCTGGGGTCTGTCTGCCCCTTGAGACCCGTGGGCTCCTCTTCCTGGACCTCGGGGCTGGGCTGTGGTTCCCCCCTTGCCACCCCCAGGGCGGGACTGGCTCCCCTCTCAGACCTCTACAAAGTGGGCCATGTCCCCCTTATGACCCCCAAACAGCAGGCCAGCTCCCCGCTCAGACCTCTACAAGGCCCAGAGTGTCTCCCTTTTGCGTCCCCAGGGGAGGTCTCACCTCCCCCTGGGATCACCAGGTTGAGCCCTGCCTCCGCCCTCAGACAGAGAACCCAAGTGGACAGTCCCTCACCTGCATCACACGGCCCAGCACACCCACCAGACGTTCCACATCAGCATAGGCTTCCTGCCAGCTGTAGCCGCCCTCGCTGGGGTCCAGAAAAGATCGAAGGGCCTTGGCCCGGTCCTGGCTTCCAGGTCCTGGCCGCCTCCTCCCTTCATCGTGCATTTGCAGGAGCTTCTGAGGGGTGGCATGTGAAGGAGGGGGTCGGCTTCCGGCCCCCCTTCCCAGCCTTGGTGGCCTGTCTGCCCTCCCCACCATGGATCCCATCTCCTACCTGCATGCCCTCGCCCAGAATGGGACCCCCCCATGCCCAGCCTCCATCCTGGCCCCACCTGCAGCATGGCCACATTCACACTGTCGTTCATGAAGGTGAAGATATGGGGTCCCAGCACCTCCCAGACCTCCTGGACATCCCTGAGCAGAGCCAGCTCCTCGAAGGTCCGGTTCACCTGCAGGGAGGCAGGTGACGAACTCAATCCTGGCCCTCCGCTCCTGAGGCCTCTGCCCCTCCACCTTGTTCCCATCTGTGCCTCTGAGCCTTTGCACATGCCGTTCCCTCTGCCGTCTGACAAACTCCTTCTTCAAAACCCTCCAGCCCGGCCTGACCCTGGGCTGATGGAATTGGGGGCTGCCCTCATCTGGGTGCCTCTCACCTGAGCCATGACCTGCCGGGTGAAAGGTGTGTCGGGTGCGAACAGCAGTTTCCCGAGGATCAGGGGTTTCAGGCGCCTCCAGAGCAGGCTGGACAGCGGGTGGTCTTCCAGGGCTCCCATCAGCTCAGAGCAGGCGGGGCCTGGGGTAGGGGTGCTATGAGGCCCCACCCTCATGCCCACCGTCCCACTTCCCAGATGGGGAAACCAAGGTCAGTCACTCACTCAGACCGCTGTCTGCCAGGACTGGCGCTGGCTCGTGCCCCAGCAACTCCCTCAGGTCACTGGCCTCATACCAGTTGAGAGAGGGGCCCCCTGGGCTGCTAGGCCCCCTGGCACTGCAGAGGGCTTCTGACAGTAATGCTGTCTGCCAGGACTGGCGCTGGCTCGTGCCCCAGCAACTCCCTCAGGTCACTGGCCTCATACCAATTGAGAGAGGGGCCCCCTGGGCTGCTAGGCCCCCTGGCACTGCAGAGGGCTTCTGACAGTAACTCCAGGGATCCACCTGTCCCCCGGAGTCGCTGCAGCAGTGACCGAAGCTGTGCCAGGCTGGGCAGCGCCAGGAGCTACAAAGGATGGCCAGAGGGCACTACGGTCTCCCTTCTGCAGGATGCCACCTCCAAACCTCAACCAGGGCAGGGAACCCCACCAGGCACAACTTCTCCCTCTCTTTCTGTCCAATCCCCCTGATTTCCTACTCAAGGGAAGTGCCCGGGCCTGTCCGATGGCCTCCACATCCAGGCAGTCTGCCTTTATTACTTCCTGGCTGGGGTCGAGGATGGGTGGCTTCTTACCTCCTGGGCCAGGTCCTCAGCTGCCTCCACAAAGCTGCCCACAGACTCTCGGGCTTGACCCAGCACAGACCCCAGGGATTCCTGGGGAGAAAGCAACAGGATGACAGTGACCTAGACTGAGCACTCACAAGGGGTCTGTCAGGTTCTCATGTGGTCCATACTATCACAGCCCCCATTTTACAGAAAGGGAAATGAGGCTCTGAGAGGCATATGGACTTGTTCAAGGTCTCGTGGACCAGAGTCTTCACCATCATGCCAGACACACCCTGTCTGGGCACAGACAGGATAAGAAACATCACTCCCAGGCAAAGGCCTGGTGGCTGCAATCAGAGGCCTCTGGCGGGCGGGCAGCTGGTCTAGAATGGGGCAGTGCCCAGACTTCCCGACAATAGTGTCCCATAATAGTGAGAGCCTAGTACCTCCCCACCGCCTCACCCCTCGCAGCAGCGTCCCCAGCCACTCAGTGGTCAGTGAGGGTTGCTCCTGTGGCTTTTCGCTCAATTGACGCCAGGCTGGGTGAGAAATGCAGAACCACAAGGTTAGGGAAACCTTGGCCCGAAACGCCCCACCCCCACCCTGTGCCCATTTCAAAGCCGGGCAAGTTGAGGCTCAGAGCTCAGCCCTGCCAGGAGACCCCAGCCTCCTCACCTGTGCTGTGTGCAGCTCTCAGCGTCGGCATCAGCTTCCTCAGGCCAGCCAGTGTCCTGCGGGCATTGGGTCCCCCCAGCACAGAGCGGGCATCAGCTAGGAGCCGGGAGACCCTGGGGACAGAGAGGGCAGGAGGCGGAGGCTCTGGTGGGCACTGCCACAGCCCGAGTCCACTGGCTGGTGGCACCCATTGTGCTTTGCTCACAGGGAGTCGTTGAAGTTGTTTAGGAGCCCGGCCTCTTCCCCAGGCGTCGGCTGCGGGAAGCAGGTGTTGTTCACGTTACAGATGAGGCCCTGGAGCCAGGGCAGGGTACCCGCCGATGGCAGTGGCTTGTTGGGAAAGTGGCCTGTTGGGAGATGCCTGGCATTGGAGGCTTTACTGGCCCTGCCTGGGTCCCCACCATCCGATCACCCCCCACCAAACACAGGCCTTCTGGGACGGAGCTCACTCTCAGCGCCAGCACTAGGTGCCCGATCCAGGCTCCCTGCCACTCACTGGGAGCCCCTATGGACAGGGCGACCCATTTACCCGCCATCACCCCCCAAAGTGCCTGGTCCTGGAGGGCTTACATTCATGGTGCTCTAATGGCGGGTGGGAGTGCCGCACAGCCACCAGGATGAAGAAGAGGAAGAGGGGCCACAGCAACTCGACCAGGAGCTGGATCTGAGGGTAGGGTATGTGGGCTATAGTGGGGGACAGCTGGGGGCACGGGCCCGTCCCACCCTGGCCTGCACGCCCAGGCATTACCGGCTGTCTCCGACGATACATGAAATTCTTCCAAAGCAGCAACATGAGCTGTGTCCAGAAGGCCATGGTGGGACTGGACAGAGGGGTCAGGACACAGGTCAGGCTGAGGACATGCTGTGCAGCTGCGGGCAACTCCCTGCCCCTCTCTGAACCTCATTCCTCTCTCCCACTGCGCAGGGTTCCTGGAAGCTCTGTTTAGAGCGAGGTAAACAGTAGGCACTTGATAGAGGTACTCTCCTCTACCCGTGGAGTAAGCCAATGGGAGCCCGGCCCGAAGCCGTCCTCGCATCCGATTGGCTGCCAGGGCTGTCCCTCCCTGCAGGCTGACGGCTGGGGTATTACGGACCATCCTCGAATCCTTAGGGTGGGAGCCTCGGCTCAGCGCTTCATCACGGGGCTCCACCCCAGCCCCACCGGGGGCCTCTTCCAGGCGCTGGCCCCAGCCACGCCCGCCGCTGTTCCCCAACGATAATAACAACGAAATTGACTGAGCTGAATAATTTACACGCCTGGCTGGCGGTACTAGACTATCACTGCACTTTACAGAAGTGGAAACTGAGGCCCGAGAAGGGGCGAATCCAGGCTCCCAGAGAGACTGGTCCCGTATTGGGACTGTCCAGCTCTGGCTTTATTGTACAGATGGGGAAACTGAGGCAGCCAGAGGGGCAGGAAGTTGCCAAAGGTCACCCATTCGGGCGGGAACTAGGACCCCAGCTCCCACTCCAGGGCTCCTTCCTTTATATCAATGGGGTTTAGGATCAGGGGCACGGCCTCAGTTTCTCCATTTGTAAAATGGGGGTGGGGGCTTGGAGGAGTCCTAAGGGGGAGAGGGGCTGCAGGCGTATGTTGCCACAGGCCCTCTCAAGTGACTTAGATGCGCAGCCTCCTCCTTGGGAATTAGCGGTCGATTCAGCTGCCTCCCGAAACCCACGGGAAGGAAAGGAAGGGTGGGTCACGGTCTGGACCCCCTAGCTCCCAGGACACTTGCCTCCCTCGTTCTCGAGTCTCGGGCCTTCCCGCCTCTCCGGGTTCCTCTCACCATTCCGAGGGCGCCCCCCAGCTCTTGTCGCCTTCCCTCCGCCCGACGGCGTCCGGGGAGCGCGGCCCCTTTAAGAGAAGCCCCCCGCGGGCGCGATGTCCCTGCAGCCGACAACCCCCAGTATCCTGTTGCCGAAAGCCGCGCCCGGCCCCGCCCCCGCCAGCTGCTATTGGCTTCTGTACCCGTCACTCACGGGTCGGCCCCTTCGGAGCTGCGCGCGCCGAAGGGGGAGGCGGGATCAAAGCCGGGCCGGGTTTCTTAAAGGGACCGCGCACCTCTTGCTGTATCACCGTGGGATGGCGAAGTGCCCGGTTCTCCCTCGGGACACACCCGCCAGGCTGTCTTGGGAAGCAGGCAGTCTTCCCCCGTTGCACATCCGCCTGCAATACCGCAGCTGCGGGTTGCAGGAGGCCCCCCCGTCCCCAGTCTACCAGGGCGGGACCCGGCCCTAGAGCCAGATGCGTTCTAAGACTCTAGGACTCTACTTGTCCATCCGTAAAATGGGGGCTCGACGAGAGGCGTCATTCATTCATTCCACGAACGTTCCTTGGTTCCTACACTGGGCCGGTGGTGGCAGAAGGCGGAGGAGCCCCCAACATTCTAAGACTAACGTCTTGGGTCATAACAGTTACCCCGATTTGGAGGAAAACCTCCAGATCTGCTCCCCGTTCTGCAAAATGCGTGTCTCACAAGATCGTGGTAAGGACGGAACCAGCGTGTGCGGACCCACGGCTCTGGAGGCGCTGGGAATGGCGAGAGGCGTGCGGGTTGGGGGAGTGGCGGGTCCGTGGAGGAACGAGGTGGCTTCCGTATCGGGGCTTGGAGGATGGACAGGAGCTGGCCAGGGAGGGTGCTCCAGACCTGCAGGCCTGAGGCTGGAGCGTCGGGCGGAACCAGGAGGGCTGGGTGGGGATCGGTGTGAGGCTCCCGCCTCCTTGCTAGCCGGCCAGGGGGCCCGGCTGCTTCCCCCACCCCAGGTCCTGGCCCCTCAAATCACTAGTTCACCCCAGACTCACCTTGTGTCCTTGGGACTCCCTGTCCCCAAGCTGCTACAGACGGTCTCCCCTTGCCCCCTCCAGATCCCACAGGGCCCCAGAAAGGATCAAAACAAACCCCACGACCACCACCACCACCAAGGTCGCATTGGATTCAATTCTCTCAGTCACCTTCTTTTCCTAAAAACGGAGGTTTTTATTGCTTTTGGTCCAGTCGGTATTTCACATTATTTCATAATCCAGGGACCCCTGGGTGGGGGTCCCTGTGCAGTACTGGGCAGGGGAGTGGGGCAGCTGGAAAAGTGTGGGCCGGTTGGTCAGGCCCAGAAGGGGAAGAGCTGGGGGTTCTGTTAAACCTACGGAGGGTTCATAATCCAGGGACCCCTGGGTGGGGGTCCCTGTGCAGTACTGGGCAGGGGAGTGGGGCAGCTGGAAAAGCGTGGGCCGGTTGGTCAGGCCCAGAAGGGGAAGAGCTGGGGGTTCTGTTAAACCTACGGAGGGCGAGGAAGGGGGATGTCGTGGGGTGGGGGGAGTCTGGGGAGCCAGGTCTGGCTTTGCCTCAACTACTTAGAACTTCACTGTCCTGTCTGGGCCTCAGTTTCCACACTGGACCCCTGGGAGGGGTCACTGTTGGTGGTCTGAGGGTCCTAGGGAAATCCAGCTCCTCACAGACACCTAAAATATTTTAGGACTGTGGTCAGGCCCTATCCCAGGGGACCCTACACCATCCCCACCCCGTTCCCCTGAAACTTGTTAAAACTGCCCAAAACTTCCGTGTGTACAGAAACCACAAACTGATCGGCAAACAAAAGGGAAGAGAAAGGGCAGAAACCGGAAACCATTTGGGGCCCATTCCCCTCCCGGCCCAGGTCTCTCCCCCGCTCCCCACGGCTCAGCCCACAGCCTGCTGAGAAACTTGCTGCCTGGATGTGCCCTGGTGGGGACCCCCACCCACACGCATCCGGAGATAGCTTTCACCCCTGCCCCCAGCCTGGTGGTTCAGTCCTGCGAAGGAACCAAGGCAGGATAGGGAAAAACATGCCCAGATGCCTGATCCCACCCAGCCACCCACAGACCCTCGGTTGGCAGCACTGAACATGTTAAAAAAAAAAAAAAAAAGACACACAGAAAAACCCAAAAACCCAGACAGGGCAATGATGTGGGAGATGGCACACACGGGCACCTCAGTAGCCTGCCTCCTCCTGGTAGTAGGGAGGATACTCCGAGGCCTCCCCCAGGCCTGGGCAGTCGCCCGTGCCTGATGGAGCCCCGTCAGCTGCTGGGCCTTGTGGGCAGTACTTGGGGTCATATATCTGCCGGCCCAGGCCAAAGACCTGGCCGCTCTGGTTGGCACCCTGTGTGTAGCCCATCTGCAGGGACATGGAGGAGTTGTCACACTTGTCGGTGCCCAGCTTGGTGTCATAGATGTGCCGCCGGGTCCCGGGAGCTGTCATGCCCACCTGCAGAAGAAGGAGAGAGTGTCGGGGTGGGAAGGAAGAGGGGGAAACAGAAGCCCCAGGAGGGGACCTTCCCCCAGACTCCACACCGTTTCCTTCCTCCCTGCTTTCTCACTGTTAGTGCAAAACTCCTATGGATCGTTCCGAGCTTTGCCCAGACACCCTTTCTCTTCTGACTCCACACCGAGTGGATCTACATCACTAGGGACCCTCTCTCCCCGTCTCAACCCTGACCACTTGGAACCAGGAATATCTGGGTCCAGCTTCCTCCCTGCCACCCAGGAAGCTCCTCCGGCTGGAGCTTAGGTGTCCTGGGGGTCTGAAGGCTCCAAAACTGTCACTGATAGGTTCCACGTGGTGGAAAATGTGAGAACCTAAAAATATCAGGATTGGGTGGAACCTCTGGGCAATCCTTTCAGGGAGACTGAGGCACAGAGTGGGGTAGTAACTTCTCTAGAGATACACAGCATGGTGGAAACAGTCGAGATTAAAATCTGAGGCATGGACAGACAGGCAGGAAGGAACCCCAGAGTGGGGTTTTCAGCAGGAGGTGGTCTTGGGGAAAGGGATGAGATAGCAGGGCATAGAGAGGCGGGGAGGGGGCCGGGGCAAGGCCCACCTGGCTGGCACACTTGTTGGTGCCCATCTGGAGGCTGATGGTTGAGTGGTCCATGGGTGGCAGGATGTGGTTCTTGGGGTCGTAGAGATGCCTTCTGGTGCCGTAAGCGGTCATGCCCGACTGGCTGGCACACTTGTTGGTGCCCATCTGCAGGGGGTGGGCAGGAGAGGTCAGTCTGCCTCTGCCAGGCCTCGAGACCCTCCTCTGAATTCGAGGGGCTACAGGGCTCAGCAGGGACACAGGGTTGGAGGAGCCTGATGCCCACCTGCAGCCCAATGACACACTGGCCGGCCTTCATGGTGGCGTCATCGAAGTTCCGCTCCTGCTTCTCTGAATATTTCACCCCTATGTCCACACCACTCTGTAACCCCTTTGTCTTGGCCTGCAGGATGGGACAGGAAGGGAGTATCAGGGTGGGGCATCTGGGGATCCTTGATCCAGGCCCAGGGTGGGCAACCCTGGGGGAGGCACAGGGACCAGGCTTCAATCGTCCCTCTCTCAGGCATCCAGGACTCAGCACACCCATAACAAAACTCTGGTCTGCAGCCTCCCCTGCCTCAGACAATAGCCGGGCCAGCCTTCCAGTTGCTCAGGTCAAGAATTCTGGGGGGCGTACTCACCCCCTCTTCCTTGCTTTCCATCACCTCCTCCTACCCAACACCCCCACCCCTGCCACCCTGGCCTGGGTCACTGCCACCATCTCTTGCCTGGATGCCTGCCCCTGGATGCTCCCTGGCCTCCAATTCCCTGACACCAAAACCTCCTCCTCGTTCCTGCAACATTCCAAGCTGGTTTCCATGTCAGGACCTTGCTGTTCCTTCTGCCCAAAACACTGTTCCAACCCACCCTCCCAGTCTCTGAGGGTCAGTAGATCCTAGACATCCCTTTCATTCTTTCTTTTCCTTCAGGGCACTTCTCACAATATGTAATGCATTGATAACGTGTAAAAATTGGTTTGCTCATTTTAATCTGCTTTCCCCATCAGACTGTGGGTCTCTGCCTCTGACCTCAGACTGAATCCCGTAAAGGGGTGGACTGTGTCTGTCTTGTTCACCATGGAATCCAAAGTGCCCAGTGCTTTGTGATCACTCAAAAATATTTGCAAATGGGCCGGCCCGTGGCTCACTCGGGAGAGTGCGGTGCTGATAACACCAAGGCCCCGGGTTCGGATCCCATATAGGGATGGCCGGTTTGCTCACTGGCTGAGCGTGGTGCTGACAACACCAAGTCAAGGGTTAAGATCCCCTTACCGGTCATCTTTTAAAAAATATATATATATATATTTGCAAACAAGGGAATGAAGAACACCTATATATGTGTACCCATCTCACTGTGTGACTCTGGGCAGGTTGCTGCCCCTCTCTGGGCCTCACCTTCCCGGCCAGCGCAAGAAGAGACACCTGCACCTGCGTCATGTTCCCACTCTCAAACAGGTCGTTGGCCTCAAACAGGTCCACGGGGTTCATGCCATAGCTGACCATGGCCTTGATGAAGTTGGAGAGGTTTTCTAGCTGGGAGAAGGCAGGACAAGGATGGTCAGTGGACCTCAGTCTATCCATCTGTCAAATGGGGTCTCCCAACCCCATCATTACTCCATCCCCCAGTCCCTCACCTGGTGCCAGTTCTGCATGGAGCGGTTGATCTTGGGAACTGAGCCTGGCTGGAGCTTGTTCATGAGTCTGCAGAGGTCATATGGGGTGAGGGCCAAACAGGAACCTGCATTAGTGTAGGGGAACCTCCAAGATCAGGGTTCTGATCTTGACCAAACTCATGCCTTCCTGGGAAACTCACTGCCTCTCCCCAGGCCTCAGTTTCCCCTTTTGTGAATTAATCTTCACCCACCAAACAAGTAAAGCTGCCAAAGACTGACAACAATCAGTGTTAAGAGTATAATCCAGAACCATTGATTTTGGGGAGTGAATCTGGGAATTTCCATTAAAAATTTTAATGTGCATAACTGAGGAATGGCTGAATGACAGTTAGATAGGACACAACAAGGAAAGGCCCCCCAGAAACTTTATTAGCTCTCCAGATGCTTGCTGTCAGATATCCTAGACAAAGCAATTAAGACAAGAAAAGAACAAAGCAATTAAGACAAGAAAAATACACAGCAATAAGACAGGAAAAAGAAAGAAGCACAAGTTAGACCAAAGACTCATTAAGTCAAAAGCAGGCAAGCTTCAAACAGTGCGTGCAGCGTGATCTCATTTGTGCAAAACAGCTGGGGTGACAACATGCATGTCCATGCATGCACTTACGTGCATAAGATAACCCCGTCCTTCAGACCCTTCTGGAAGTCGGGCCCAATGGAGAGGCCTGTGAGTCCCTCTATCCAGCTGCGGAGCTCAGCCTCCTTCTGAGGGTCATATTTGGACAGGAGCTGGGGAAGCAGAGGGCACAGGGCTCAGCTGGGGTGAGGACCCAGCAGAAGCCCTGAAGCTCCTGAGTGGCTGGGGCTGGTGACTCTGAAGCAAGAAGTTATAGAGGAGCCTGGAGTCCTCACCCTACCCAAGCATGCCTCCCCCTTTCCCACCCACAGGGACGCCCCAGCCCTTTCTCATGGGCACAAAGACACCAGCCCACAGCAGTCATGCTCATAACTCTCACTGATAAACACGGGCTCTAACCTGCCCCCTGCCCTCTCTTTTCCTTGCTGTGGTACACCTGACAGTTGCCACTTTAACCATGTTAAACCGATTGATTCGGTGTCACTTAATGCCTTCACAGTGTTGTGCACCCACCACCTCTACTTAGTTCCAGAACATTCTCATCACCCCAAAAAGAAGCCCCCTCCCCAACAGCAGTCAGACCCCATCCCCTGCCCTGGCCCCCAGTGACCACTGATCCACTTTCCGTCCCTATGGATTTGCCTGTTCTGGACATTTCATATAAATGGAATGAGACACTGTGTGCCTTTTGTGTCTGGAGTCTTTCACTGAGCGTGATGTGTTTGTGGTCCATCCACGCCGTAGCGTGTGTCAGAGCCTCGATCCTGTTCATGGCTGAGTGACGTTCCACTGTGTGGCTGGACCGCGCTGTGTTCATCCACTCATCCATGGATGGACGTTTGGGCTGTCTCCACTTTTTGGCTGTTGTGGATAGTGCTGCTATGAACATGGGTGTGCAGGTACTTGGGTCCCTGTCTCCATTTCTTTTGGGTAGACCCCCAGGAGAGGAGTGGCCGGTCAGAGGGTAACTCTATGTCTAACCTACTGAGGAACTGCCAAGCCTTTCTCTGTGTCTCAAACCAGCCGTGCTAGTTCCTGCCTCAGGGCCTGTGCACGCACTGTCGCTGCTGACTCAGATGTTTGCAGGCTCAGTCCCTCCCTTCAATCCACTCACAGATGGAAGGTCCCTCTTTGGAAAGAACCCCCCTGGCCACCCTGTCGATGACAGTCCGCCGTCTTTCTGTCTGTCCACCCTACTTGATTTTCCTTCTAGCGTCTATCTCACCTTCTGTTACGTGACGTTTCTCCTGGATCATGGTCCAACTCCCCTGTAACCTTTGCTGTCCAGCTGAGTCCTGTCTCCACGCTGCTAGGTGGTGCATAAAATGCTCGAGGTGCCCCACTAGTGCACGCCCACCACCCACAAGCACACGCCCCCTGGCAGCATCTTAGAGCACTGAAGTCCGAAAACGCCGGAATGGCTGGCCCCAGGGAAGTCCCACAGAGTCAGGGAGACCCAGGTGTGTGCACAGCTCCTTGGGGAAGTGGTAAGAAGCTAAATCCCAGCTCCTGTTCAGCATCAGATTGTCCAGCTCAGGGGGTGTCTGCTGCGGACCCCCTGCCTTCCTTTGAGAAAAGGTGCCCATTCTCTCCTCTCCTCCCAGGGGACCAGAAGGACCCCAGAGCAGCCCTTTGACAACCCAATTCCTCCTCCCAGCTCTGTGCCCCACTTCCCAGATGACTATCAACAGGTCTCTCCCCTCTCAGCCTCAGTTTCTCCATCTAAGTTTGGAATCACTTGTGTAAGGGTCTCCTGAATTGAGCCCCCACTTCCTGCCTCTAAAGCCCTGCAACATGGGATCAGGGCTGGGCAGCCTGCAGCACAGGGGACAAAAAGGCGGAGGCCGGCCCACTAACCCGATCCAACCGGCCCACCCCCACTGGGTCTCGTCTCTGGTTCCCACGGCCCCCCAGGGAGCAGCCCTGCCCAGATGCAGCTTTGTCCAGCCCAAGGAATGAAAGGGCAGGGGTGTGGCTCAGGCCCCGAGAGCTGAGCTTGAGGCGGTTGGGCTGGCTTGGAGTCTGGAGGCCAGACATGCCTTGTCCAGCTGTGCCCTGTCCCTGGCGGCTCTGGGGGCCAGGGGGCCAGGATCCTGGGCAAGGCGCCTGGCCCAGCCCCGCCTGCGTGGTGGCCTTCCCCCGCCAGCTGCCCAGCCAGGCCTTCAGCACATTCCTCCTCACCACAAACTGCCAGGAATGCGGCCACTGCCTCCCCTGCTAAATCAGGACCAGCTGTTTTCAGCAGTCCAGACCCCCTGGCTGGGATCACTCGGCCATGGCTGCTCGGAGAGACACACTGGACCTCAGCCTGCCGCAGTACCATCCAGCCAGGGGCAAATTGAGGCACAGGGGGCTGGGGCAAAGAGGTTCCTGGGTCTCCCCTTTCTTAAGCAGCTGATAAAGAGAATGGGGTGGGTGTGAGCTCAAAGCCACCAGAAAGTGGGTTTTCAAGTGGGGTGGGACTTTTAGTGACCCTGGCAAGCTGGTTGGAGTCCCGACCATTCCCCAGACTGGCAAACCGAGGGTTGGTCACAGGGAGCCTTCTGGGACTGCTGCTACAGCCTATGACCTCACTCCAACTAGAGCAGGTACCAACCTGCCCCCCACCCCACCCCATCTCCAGAAGCTGCCCCCTCCCCCCGCCAGGTATGCAGCATCCTCTCCCACTGGCCCAAGGGAGATGCACCGCCCCGAAAAACAGAGGCCATCAGGCGCTGGAGCCCACAGGGCTGGTTCTGCCACTTGCAAGCTGTGTGGTTCAGGACAGCTGAAGCACTGTTTGCACCCCCAGACCCTTAAACTGCCTCCGTGCAGGGTGGGCAACATACCCGGGCACCTGCAAGGCAGGCTCCGTAGAGCTACTACAGCCAGTCAAAAGTCCCCTGGAGTGGGGAACAGCACATTTAAGGGGTAGTCCAGAGCCCCTGGGCTTGCTGGGCGACCGGTCCTTCGCCTCCCCAAGCCTCAGCCTCCTCTTTCATCAAAGGGTTTGTCCAAACAAAGTGATGCAGAAACTCCCCTCCTGTCCGCGGGCCCTGGGGTGTCGGCGGGGCAGGTGCCTGTCAGAGGCTGGCAGGGCTGGTGCCCTCAGCGTGCCCAGGCAGGTTCCCCAGCTGGGAGGCCGCATTCCCGGGTGCCTGGTGGGTGGGGGGGTGTGCGGGGGGATGGGCAGGGATGACAAACCGTCTCCAGCTGGAAGGGCCCTTGAGTGTCAGGCTTTGGACCTCCCCCGCGTCTGGGATGTCCCAGACCCTGCTGTGTGACCCTTCAGAAGTGTCTGCCCCTCTCTGGACCAGAACCACAGTGGTTTCTTAAAAAGTGTCTCCCCTGGGCCTCACCCCGTGTTTCCAGGTTATAAAACCCACACATTTCAGGATCACCTTCAGGGAACCCCTTCACTACCCCTTTAAACTTGTCAGATGGGACAAAGCTGGCAAGGTGGCCCCTCAGCTCCAACTTCCGCCTTCGTGCCCCCCCACCAGGTGTAAGAAGCCGGGAAATTCCTGGGGGGGGCACACCCTTCTCAAAAACCACCGGGCCCCGCCCCCTTCCCCTCCCGAAGCTTAAGTGGCCCCAAAAGCAGAAGTGGGCCCAGGAGATGATGAGGCGGGGGCTGCTGGGGTCCACCCAGACCCTCAGAGCGTTCTCGGGCCTTGAAGGCCTCGTGGGGCCCACGGCTAAACCCTTGAGAGTGGGTCCCGGGGGCTTCGGATGGGGGAGCTGCCTGCGAGTCAGGACTGGGCGAGGAGGTTAGATGCTGGGGACGTGGAGGGGTCACGTCCCTACAGCTCAGCTCTCACGGCTCCCCAGGTTTGGGAGTCTCAGGGGGCGCCCCCAGACCACCCAGCTGTCAGGGGGAAGAAGATGTTGGACGGCCGCGCCGGGGCCCCCTCCCCGACGTCGCGCGGACCCCTGCCCGAGTCCGAGTGTGCGGCGGGGACAAGGGGGCCCGCCTGTCACTCACCCGGGTCCTGACCTCG